CGGTCTAGGCGACGATGCGAGGCGTGAGCGCTTGTGATGAAACGGGCGTGGAAGGCGAGTTGGATTATTTGGCTGCTATACATTGCCAGACGATAAGCAACTTCGTTCAGCTTTCATTTGCGGGCCAGGTCGCTTCTGACAAGGAAGCCGACAGATCAGTGGGCTTTACCTGGTAAAATGAATACAAATACTTAATTTTAGATTTTTTAAAAAGTGATTTGTTTTCCATTACTTAGCACTCCTATCGTGTTTTTGTGTTGTTTGGTAACTTTCTGACCCGCCCCTACTGGATATCTGTGAAAAAAGGTTTATAGCTCTTATCGGATTCCTCCAGCAGAAATGATTGTGATTCTGAAAAGAGAAATATGCTGAGTGTTCTCAGCCAATGGCCATTGCATGCATTACCCTCCACACTTATACAGAACATATGCGTGACGCGTGACGAGTGCGTGTGGTGTCCGCACGCCGGTTGAAATAGCAATGCCCTTGACCCAGGAGAAACTCATTGAGACTCAAGGCTCCTTTTCAGGAGGGTCCTGCCACATTGGGATGTTTGGCCAATCCCATTCACGAGAGTTTGGATTCGTGTGGAAGCAAGCGGGAGAGACAGCCTGCCCACCATGCGTACGAAGGCGGGGAAGCACTCACAACTCCGCACAGACAGATTCAAGAATCCATGACTGCACTGCCATCTGGCCGCATATTGGGCGATTAAAATGATGGTGCGTGTTAATCGGGAGTAATGTTGAACGTGGTGGTGGTGTTTGGTTGGTTCTGGGAGTTAAGAGTTAGCGCTGGAGCATGATCGTCAACCACCAGCAGCAGTAGCAGCAGGAGCAGCAGCAGCCCCTCGTGGCGGTGAGACCCCTCATGCGCTCCGCTCACCACTCATCCTCACCACGCGACTCCTCCACTCATCCTCACCACTCCTCACCACGCGACTTCTCCACTCATCCTCACCACTCATCCTCACCACGCGACTTCTCCACTCATCCTCACCACGCGACTCCTCCACTCCTCCTCACCACTCATCCTCACCACGCGACTTCTCCACTCATCCTCACCACTCATCCTCACCACGCGACTCCTCCACTCATCCTCACCACTCATCCTCACCACGCGACTTCTCCACTCATCCTCACCACTCATCCTCACCACGCGACTCCTCCACTCCTCCTCACCACTCATCCTCACCACTCATCCTCACCACGCGACTCCTCCACTCATCCTCACCACTCATCCTCACCACGCGACTCCTCCACTCATCCTCACCACTCATCCTCACCACGCGACTCCTCCACTCATCCTCACCGCGCGCGGTGACGTCAGCGCGCTCCACGCGGGGGGTCCCCGCGGTTCGCTATTGTGGGGCTGCAGTGCATGCGTGTGTATGTGTGTGTGTGTCGCGAACACGCGTCACGGTATCGTGCGATATCGGTGAAGGTGGCCGTCCGGACCGACCCGGCTCGGCACTGCGCTAATTATTCGTGGCTCAGCGTCGCCCTTGGGGGAGCGTTTCCGCGGCTCGCTCGCGAGTATTCGTTCTGTTTTCGTTCGCTCCAACGGGGGAACAAAAGCGACGCGACTTGGGCTCCCGCGTGCGCCCGTTCTTTTTGTTTCGGACCGAGAAAAAAAGCGTCGAGTGGCGCGTGGCTGTCGCTTGTCGAGCCCCGGCTGGGTAAACGCGTGCAGGGCAGCGGTCGTTCTCGACATCGCAGTGCGCGCGGAACGGGACGGACCCTCCTCACTCGCTCTCCAGCTGCTTCTGCCGGCTCGTGGGTGGGGGGCTCCCGGCACCACAGACGGCCGCTTACCGAAACGCTCAGAACATTGGGGGGGGGGGGGGGGTGCAACTGCAATAAGCGCAGCGTTCGAGTTTCACCCCCCCCCCCCACCTTCTAAAACAATATTTATATAATTCCACTCCCCCTACGAAGCACACCCCCTAACCCTGTTACTGACACTACCCCCTAAACCGAACACTATCAATTACCCAGTCTCAAATCCCGTTATGACCGTTAATGGGATTGAAATCCCCAACTAATTGGAGTGGTAATTACACGCACTGAGCCTGGCGTCCTTTTTTCGTTCCAGCGCACGCCAAGCCACGTGCGCGCACACGCGTGTGCACACGTGTACACGTGTGCACACGTGTGCGCGCACGCGTGTGCACACGTGTCTCGTCTCCGCACGTGCATGTATGTGTACACGACAGGTTCTGAACGAATCCACCGACTGCCTGATCGAGAGGATTCGTGCGTTTAGCCAGGTGAACGCCCATCGTGCAGTTAACATTAATATTAGATGTGCGAATAATTATCTTGACAATGTAAATTCGTAGAGTTTGATGTTTTTTCTTTTTTTTTGCATTTGGTATTGTGTTCGGGCGTTTCAATACAATGCAATGACAATTGAATGTATACATAATGGTCAGCTCCTGCAAACAGTGCCCGTTTAGAATTAACAAAAATCACATACATACATGCACCGCAAAGGCAAGTGTTTATGTAATGATACACTTTAGTGTATTGCAACTCACCGACTTCCGCGTATACAACATACACGGGGCTATAGATTTACATATTAATTCCTGCATGGGGTTATGTATTAAAGGGGCTCTATAGACGCGTGTCCTGTATAGTATGTACACGCCAGCTTGTCACTCATGAAGTGTGTACACTCGTCGGTGTATATTACGCCTTGCTGCAATCACCAGCCTGCTTGTACACGTCCAGTCTCTACGGTGGTTATGCACTGTGCGTCCATCTCTCTCGGTCTCGCTTGCACAGTCGTCGTGTGCTGGCGCTCTCGTATTGATATTTGACAGCTGTGATGCCACGTAGAGAGATGATCGATCCGTCATTGCCTCCGTTAGTTAATGCACAAAGTAAGCATGTGCAGAGGGTTGTGTCTATGGGGTTATGTGTATCCCATAAAGTTATATGATGTACATCTATAAGCATGTCAGACAGAATATCCAGTCTGTTATATAAAGACTGGATAGACTATAGGGTTACGTGCATGTCGATATAATGTATTGATTATTGACAGTATTGTATAGATTATCGATTGAGCGTTATACATGGACACGAAATACGGGCATGCACACGTCATATGTATTACAATGTTTAACATGTGTTCACCTATAGGTCATAACATTACACACAGCATATATATCAACATGTACTGTATACTGTTATATACTGTACATGTCAATCCACTTTACACATTGGGCGACTGCATTCACAACACAAGGTGCGTAGGTATGGTTATACACATACACGTGAACAGGTTAGAGATCAAACGACAGGGCGGCGCTCATTCCACATTCCTATGACGGAGTAATGTTTTCCATATAACGACCAAAGGGTCACTGTTTCGAGGACTGTATGCACACCACCATCTGATAGGGGTCAGGCAGGATATCCATAATAGGTTAACATCTTGATTCCGCATTCATCTTAATCTACTCTCTTACCACACACACACATACAGAGATCTCCCGGTATATCATATTGGCAGACTTAACACGGGAAGGACTGTTGTTAGTGAGCACCTATTAAGAATCCATGACAGGCGCACGACTGGATGTTGGAGCTAGAGGCACGCCCGCGCCGCCTTTGTATCCCCAGTGCTGATGTTTACACCCGGTACCAGGTACTCCTTTAAGGGTGAGTCGATCTAGGGGCTGGGGTGGACAATGACCCACATATCCGGAGCTCCCATGTCACCTTTAACCAGGCTGTTGGGGGGAAATGCTATTAGCGGGGTGGTGTGGCGAGATCCCACACTCGGCCGTCTTTGTCTCCCTAGAGTTGGTGTTGACCCACACCGCACACCAGGCATTTACACCCGCACACGTCCAGACGCACACACACACACGTCCAGACGCACACACACACGTCCAGACGCACACATATCCAAAAGCGCGCGCCGCTGTTGTGACCCCACGTGGCGGCGCACTGACACACACACGCGCCCCCACACACACGCGCGCTGACACACACACGCACACGCACGCTGACACACACGCGCGCTGACACACACACACGCGCTGACACACACGCGCGCTGACACACACACACACACACACGCGCCCCCACACACGCGCGCTGACACACACGCGCGCTGACACACACACACACACGCTGACACACACACACACACGCTGACACACACACACGCGCGCTGACACACACACGCGCCCCCACACGCGCGCGCCCTGTGCGTGTGAGTCGGTGCGCGTGCGTGCGTGTGCACGCTCGCGCGCGCACGCGACCCAGCATGCCGTGCGCGCGTTCCCGCGAATTCGCGTCTGGATCGGGGCGGAGAGGAGAGCAGAGACGCGGCCCGTTGCTCCCTCCTGTTACACAGAGACACACACAGACACAGAGACACACACAGACAGACACAGAGACACACAGAGACACACACAGACACACAGACAGACAGAGAGACGAGAGTGGGCAGAGATCCACCGAGGGAGAGGCAGGGGCAAGGTGACCGCGAGTCGCACCGAGACAGGCGGAGGGACACGAACAGGGAAACGCGAACGGAGGAGACATCGGGGGCAGTGCAGGGAAGAGACACGAAGACAAGGAGACAGACAGGGGGCAGACGGACAAGGGTATACATATATACGGTACAGAGAGACGTAGGAAGAGAGACACAGGGACAGAGAGACACGCGTGAGACAAGGGGAGACACAACGAGAGAGCCCTGAGACCTGGGAACACATACGGGAGAGCGAGGACAGGGAAGATCCGCACGGAGGGAGAAACAGACAAAGGCAGAGAGACAGAAGGACATAAAGGGTTAAGACAAACGGGGGAGAGATAGGACAGACGGGGACACACACGGACACTGGCAATCGGAGTGACAGATGCATATGTTGGGGGGGAGACACAACGAGAAAGACAGACGCTGAGAGACGGACAGGGCCCATCAGTGGCACGTGAGACACAAGCATATTGACAGGGTGAGAAGGACAGACGGGGGGGGGGGGGTATCGGGGAGAATCGCACAAAGACACAACCCATATCAGGAAGTGATACATGCGGTGGCATTGACAAAGGAACAGAGACACGCAGAGCAGCAGGAAGTGATAGCGAGCGCAAGACACTGGGAGGGAGACAACACCGACGGACACGTAGCAAGAGGGACAGCACGGGGACAGACGAGAGAGGCAGCCAGCGACAAGCAGCAAGCAAGGCGAGAGGGGAACAGGCCGGGGGTAAGCACAAGCCACGAGGAAGAGACACGGGGAGACGTGAAGTTACAGGACAGACGAGTAGAAGGAGAGACAGAGACTCTGGCAGGAGGGCAGCGCCTCTAAACCTCGTGCCACCAGAGCATTGGCGTGGACTGGACCCGAGACCGAACCGCAGGGAGAGAGCGACCGCCCCCATCGCACCTCCTGCTGCTGCTGCTGCTCGCCAGCAGCCAGAGCCCCCGAGGCAGGGTCGGTCTCTCGCAGTCACTCACCACCACTCGCCCTCACCACCACCAGCAGCAGCAGCAGCAGCTTCTTCCTCCGCGTCCATCACCACCACTACTACCACCAACCACCGTAATCATGAGCAACAACTCCACCGCCGCATTAATCATCAACACAACTCCACCACAACTTCACCACGACAAAACACTCCACCACCACCTTAATCATCAGCAACTCCACCACCACAACACCACCTTAATCATCAGCACAACTTTACCAACACGGCCACCACCAGCACTACAACTCGACCACCACCACGTTAATCATCAGCACAACTCCACGATGTTAGTCATCGACACAATTCCCCATTAATCATCACAATTAAACGTTAACCAGAAGCACAACCCCGCCGCCTTCTGTCGCCACTACCCATCCCTTCCCCTCTCACCACCGGCGTTTATTAACTACCACCTCACCTCCACCAGCTCCGTCCTATCACATCATCACCCCGCCATCACAACCTTCACCACCTTCCATCCTGAAACGGTTTCGTCCACCACCACTACCTTCAACAACTCCACCGCCACGATCTGCGCCACCACCATCACCACCACCCACTCAATCGACTCCACCACCATCATCACCATCCCTTCCACCATCTCCACTACTTTCAAGGCTATCGATATTCACATCAGCCACCGTCGCCTTCACCCCCTCCACCACCACCAGCGCCTTCACCCCCTTGGTCACCGCCTCCACCACCACCCCCCCCACATCGCCCCCACCTCCCGACCCCCGCGGTTCGCACGGCGCCCCCTCTCGCTCGCCTTCACGGTGCCCCCCTCCCGCTCCCTCCTCCCGCTCCCTCCTCCCTTCGTCTCCCCCCGTCTCCCCCCTCGTCTCCGCCGCCAGACCGTAAGGAGGAGGAGGAGGGGAGAGGGAGTCGCGCTCCGCGGGAAGACGAAGCAGCAAGAAGCAGCAGCAGCAGCAGCATGGCCCCCAACAAACACGCCAGCGGCAAGGCCGCCTCCTCCTCCTCGGCCACGGCCTCCTCAGCGCTCGCCTCCTGCAACAAGAAGGCCAGCATGGAGCAGATACAGGCGGACCACGACCTCTTCATGCAGGCGTTTGAGAGTGAGATCCGCCGGGCTCGGGAGACGGGTAGAGGGAGGGAGGCAGGGGAGGGAGAGAAGTCGGTCGGCACCCCCCCCCCCCCCCGAGTCCCCCGCGGGCCCACGCGCCGCTTTGCCGGCCGGCGCGGCCAGGCGAGCGCGAGGCTCGGCGGCCGTTGCCGGGCCCCGGTGCCGAGAACTTGAAAAACGCGGGGACGACTCCCGCCTCCTCCTTCTCGTGGCTCTCGCGGCGATCTTCCCACTCTCCCCTTGCTTCCTTCCCTCCGTCTTGGCCCTTCCCCACTCGTCTTCTCTCGTCTCTTTTTCTCCCCTATCGCCTCCCTTCTCTTGTATTTACCGTCGATTTATTTCCCGTAACCTTTCATTTTTCTTGCCTCTCTCGTCGGTCGCCTGGTCTTCTCTCCCCACTCTGCTCGTGACTATTCTCTCTCCCGTTCTCTCTTTGATCGCCTAGAAGCTTAATGATTATCGTGTGCCTGTGTGTGTGTTTTAATTGTACATAAACACGCGCGCATATGTATCACGAAACATACAACAACAACGCGACCCGATTGTGGGAAAAGCTCTAGACTGGCGGGGAGGAGGTCGGGCGGTGTATAAAGAGTGTTATTACATTTAAACCGAGTGAGTTTGTGATTGATGATGGGGGTGAATGTTGTTAAAGACTGGTGGTGGTGATGATGATGATGGTGGTTGCGCGGTTGAGAGTTGAGACACTGCGGGGCTGTGTTCGTCTCACCACGGCATGGCCCCGTTCTTTTGTCTATCGCTTGTGTGTTTGCGATGGTGATGATGGCATCGTGATGATGATGGTGATGGTGGGCGAGGGTGTTGGAAGGCTTTGCTGCGATGGTAGGTAGTGGTTAAAGTGAGTGGTCGAGTATCGACTCCGTACGTCTCACCCCGCCACCCACCCTCGTTCTTTTGTCTATCACTTGTGTGCTTGGGATGATTATGATGGTGGCATGAGGATGATGATGTTGAGTGTTGTTAAAGACTGATGGTGATGGTGGTGGAGTGGCTCTGCTGTTGCTATTCGCGCCTCGCCACGAATCGTCGCCGGTGTGGTTCTTTGTCTTGCACTTTGTGTTGTAGCCGTGGCGAGACGCCGCGTCCCGGCTGCCTCTCGCCATTTATTATTTCATTCCACATCCCTCCGTGCTAAAACATTCCGTGCCTTGAGGTTACGATGTCGATGTGGTGGTGGTTGTTGTTGTGGGGGTTGGGTGGGCTTGGGATTTTTTTGTTTTTGCTCGACACGAGGGCCGTAGAGAAATTGTGGTGCCAGACATGGCTCCGCGTTTTGTTTGTGTAACGTATACACGTTCACACGTGTACACACACGTACGTACACACAGACGCGTGCACACGTACGTTCACACACGTCTGCACGCGTCAACACGTGCATTCACGTGCGCGCGCACGTGAATGCACGTGCACACGCGTGCGTACACGTTCATACACAAGTTCTCACACGTCTGCACACATGTCTACACGTGCACACACGAAAACATGCGGACATGAATGAACACGTTTACACACATGTATACGCGTGTACGTACGTACGTACACACATGCATACATACATTCATAAACACATGAATGCACAGAATGTATATACATGCGTACACATGAATCCACATACGCGGTTTCACGCGCACACACATCAATGCACACAATGATGCACAACTCATGGGTACACGATGCACACAATTTGCATTTGCACCGGTACATTCATTAATGCACACACAACACATGAACGTACACGTTAATACACACCGATGCGCACGTACACACGTGTACGCATTCATACAGTATGCATAATGTATGTACATAGACATTCATTCACACACTCGTCGACACGTACGCACGTATTTCACATTACCCAAGCCATGCACGTTATAACATCATATACACATTGGCATGATAATACTTTAAATATCCATTTACATGTTTATTTACATTGTTCTTGCAATACACCCGCATTGTGTACACACAGAGTATACACTCAAAGCGTAACTTGCACGTACACAGTGTGACATGTTCACGGCTATATGTCCATGCAAAAGACGATCAGTAGTCTTCACATATCTCGTGGTTGTTTGTGACACCGACATTATAGGGTACACGAAGCGCGTACACGTGCATTGGTACAGGCCACGCAGTGCGCAATGTGTAGGCAGTGTATGCAGGACGTACACATGCGTGTACTACACACACGTGTGTATTCTAAACAAACAACGTGCACACCCAAAACAACTTAAATACTGTACTGTACATACCATGCACCAGTAAGATCCGCTGCGTATTCGCGTGTACCCATGTGAATCCGCTGCGTTTGCACGCCAACACAATGTTAATGCACAAACACATTACACATGCAATGGGTTGACATTAGTGGAAACACATTGTACACAAACACATAGATATATCCAAAAATCACAGGAAACATTTTCTTAAATATTTGCAGAATGTTTACACGTACCATGCACACATGCATTGTAAAACGTATGCATATATACTATAAGTAGCAGACAAAATAGACATTGTATTGTCCAAAACGTTGCAAATTATAGCGTAAGGTATTTATATTTCCCCAAACCTACACAATCTTCACACGCAAACAAGGGTTTCGTTTGGTATACACCTGTACAGGTGTGTACCAAACGGTTTAATATTGACACATCTACCCAGACGTGTGTAAAGAGTTGATATATATGCAGCCTCCATGGATATATCGTTCAATTCATATATGTGACATGTACATGTAGCCATACACGCCATGTAATTTTACGTGTATACACACGTGCATATATGCACAGCAAGTAAATCTAGTTTACAGACATGTAAACACATGAATGAGTGGACATGTCCACACACGTGCTCACACACAGGTGCAGAGATTGCCAGAGTACAAACAAAACGTTGACCTCGCCACTTAACGAAATAATGTACTCCGTTTGCAAATAAACTTGGCCCTATCAGCCACAAACATATTTCAGTGTACAGACCTAAACCTGCATAGTGCCATTTCAAATAACCCGTTACAAATACAAGGGTACATGTTTGTGTATTTATATACACATACATATATATGCGAGTGTATATACGTGCATACACACATACAATGTAAAAACGAACATGTAATTTTCCTGATACATAGCAAGAAAAAAACCTGAGTAGACGTTTCAGGCCACTGCCCTTACTCAGGAGCCAGCAGCAATTACGCTGCTCCCACATACACACGTTCACATAAACATCCACACGCCGCCACCATCACCACATGTTCTCTTTGGCAGTTAGCTCGCCCATTTTGTCATCACCGTGCATCGTCATGAAATGCAGTCGCCTGTTTGTGAACTTGCGAGAGAGGCATTGCGTGTGCAGTATTTGATGCAGTCTAGGTGCGTTATGCAGCACTGTTTATAGATGCAGCCTGGCTACTAGCTAGCTAGAAGCTAGCCCCAAAGCAAACACCTCGCGAGGAAAGTGAACGGGGGTGTAGGCTTGCGCCAGGTTAACTGCTGATCGCAGCACGAGCGGGATAGGCAGCGTCATTGGTGGTGGTGGGGCTGTATCCACCCTATCTGGCGACACTTGTTCTCGGAATTGGTGGTCTAAGAAATTTGATGAATTCTCCAACAAGCGTAGCACGCCAAGCTCGTAAAGTCATACTTTTGTGTGAGCATCTGTAGTTTTTTTGCTGCGCATACAACACATCTTGTGTGCTTTACACCCGAGTACAGGTGGACACTGCGAGGTGTGTGCACCCCTGTTATAAACAGGTCCTTTAAAAAGGTGACGGCAGACTTAAGTCATACGTCTATTTTACACGCAACGTATGAGCGCAGTTTAAAGCATGCAAGTCCACTGAGATGACAATGTCTCTGAAGGATGACCTTATAATTTTTATTTAAAGTAAAAACAAATCTCAGTGCATGGGAGGAGGATATTAAATGTAATTGTAAACCGTATTATCAAACAATTGCAAAACAAATGGCTTAATACCAACGAGTACATTGCCCTAGAGAATTTAACATTGTACACAATTGCATGGTGTGTGTGTGTTTTAAGCTGTTGCATTTCATGTTTTCCCGTGAACATGTCGATGTTTTCTAAATAAATACCCGTGTACCTCTGCTTGTTCGTACGTGGACTTGGTAATTGACATCAGAGCAAGTCTCACTGAAAGGGAACGTATGACAGAGAAGCTGCTTTTACTTGAAGGCAGCAGGTACCACGACGTTATAGCTTCTCATCGTGGCCTCCTGTCCATGTTGGCCACTAGATCCAAATGCATGAATTGTAAGGTCAAATATTTCACTTCACACAACGTGCTGTCGCGCTATTGGTTGCTCACACACCGTGTAGGTACACGATCTTTGTGTGTTCTGTTGTGTACACACACAACCATAGAGTGTGTACATGCACACGCACCAAGAATGTTTATGCATGCGTAATTGTACAATAATGTCTTATCTTTTGGCATGATTGCTTTTTTGCAGAGCCAACTCAAATTTACCGCTTTCTCCGGACAAGAAACCTAATAGCGGTGAGTGCACTCAGACGCACATTCACCTGGCGACATAACCCCAATAATTATGTATGTTTGTTTGTAACGCAGACTGGTTTTTCTGCCGATGATCCATTGCCAAGAGTGAAACGTGCAATTGAAACGCGTGGTGTATTTTTAGGAGAGGTATCATTGGTTTGTCATGCTGTGAGCACTAGACCGAATCGTGCGGCACAATCCTGGAAAAACTCAAGACAATCCTTGGCAACTTCTCAATGTTTAATTACCGTGTCCCAGAGTTTTGCCCACTGCTTGTGAAGCGTACCTTTATATTGTTAATTGTTTCGTTATGTTGTGGCATTGAGGCTGAATGCTCTTTGCGCCCTATCCGTTATGAAATGTTTCTGGACATTTGCTCGCAGACCGTGCCTTCACGGGGGATGTTGTTGTCTGGAAGAGCGCACGTATATTTTTTCCTGCCCACCAGCCTCGGATGAAGTGCTCTGGTTATGTTGACGATTCCCTATCCGTGTTTCCGAATAAGGCAGAAAGCATTTCCCAGTTTTCTCCCACACTCAGGCGTGGGCCAACCTGCTAATGCCACCACCTCCCTTTTGGTAAACTTTGGCTATTCCTGGTCTATCCAAGGTCTAAACGTGACGTTGGCTCACTTAGTTTGCTCAAGAAGATGTGTCCCGTGTGGAGGCATGCACTGTCACCATTCTAATAGGAACATCTCTGCGTGTCTCTTTTTGTTTCCAGCCGATTTTTTTACACAGAACTCTGACCTACATGCCTCATAAAAACTCCAAGTCAACCAGCGAAAAAAGGTACATCACATCAAATGACTGTTATTTTGCGTTTGTTTTGTTTGCTCGGAGTAGCCGGCTGGCCGCAGCTGCCGGAGTGGATGCGGTGCTTCGTTTACATTTTGTGTAGGTGGCCGTGCGCTCATGCACGTTACATGGCAGATGGTGATAAATATTCAAAATACATTATCCAAAAAAAGGTTACGTGTGCCCTGATAAAAGAATGTACGCGAGTAATATTATATCGCAGTAAAGAATGCTTGTTTGCTGTTGTTGTGACAATTCAGATGGCAAACAAGTTGTCTTGTGTCCTTGGTGCCACAAACACATTGTAGTACAAGATAAAAAAGAAAGTGCGTAAAAATTCTGGTCACGTATTATTATTGGGCTAAGAACGGAGAGACAAGTAGGATATTTGACAAAAGATGACACGTGCAGATGTTGTTTTGTGGTTGAGAGTGTCACCGATGTTCAGGCGGTGAAGGGCTGTTTTGTTTATGCCTAAATTCTACAATGCCAGTGCTGCTGTTAAGCTCGGCCTTAATAATACATGGATTTACATGCACATGTAAGAATCGCTAATGTTCTATTTGTATATGTTGCATGTAATGCGGTTTACATGACCCTTGCTGCGGCCGCTAGATTCGCCACGTTTACTCTCGAATCCAATCGCGAGCCAGAATCGTGACGATTGATCCAATCTCCAGGGGGGTGAATGCATCCGGGCTTTAGTGTTGCTGCACTAAATATATGTGCATTTAAAATCTTAATTTGCATACACACCGCTGCATGCTGCTCTCTTTGTAAACAAAGTGCTTAAAATACGTGTGTATTATAACCGCGAACAAGCACGGATATGATGCGAAATGGCAAACAAATTTGAGTGGAGTGAAGTTATCAATTGGTGTAACTGCTGGGGTTAGTTAAAAATAGAATTTTCATGATGTTAAACAGTTCTGCTGACTGAATTCCCCCCATCAAAGAATATCTTCGTAGCCTCCTGTGTTCTTTGGCGAGCAGCGAGGTAAACATGCACATAGTTTGGTTTCGCGGATAGAGCCGCGGAAAGCCTCTCGTTTTATTGAATGCATTTTTGATAATAATTTCTAACAACGAAGTCCGTTTTCCCACCTGCAAAACTGCATGTATTTTCATCTGTGCCCTTGAGATGGGATACGTGTCTTGGCTTTCGTGGACTCGAGTCATTCTCCACAGAGCTGTCGGAACCTAACGGGACCTTGGAAGGCGAACCTTTGGTCCGACCAAAAGGTTTGCCAGGGTCACATAGCAGACCTGACCTCTGCTGTTAAACATTTGAAAACAGTCATTTATCTTCCTTTTCTTTCTCAAGTTTTTTTTTATTGCGCTAGTGTTTAGAACACTTTGCTTTAATGGGTGGCAGTTGTTCCCAGTAAGAGACAGTTGGGTGAGTGTTAGGTTCCTGTTAAAGTTGCCCTTGTATACGATGGCTGTTGACACTCGAAGACGTTTCTTAGTGCTCAAAACCTACAGCTGGCTGCCTCCAACACGTTCGGGTAACGTCACTGTCTGCGATGGTCACTCACCTCTGGCTGTTATTATCATTATTTTCTGAAACTTGCTGCAGTGACGACCTGCATTAACACAGCCATGTCAGTAATGGGGGGGGGGAGGGGTGGCTGTTACACGTTGCCAAGATGTTAACTACCTAACTTGCTATGAAGGAGTTCGTGGGTTCGATCCCGACCCTGGCACTTGTATATTTGGAGTTTGCATGTCTCTCCACGTGGTCGTGTGGAGTTTTTTCCGGGTCCGCCAGTTTTTCCATCCACATTTAAAATCCACATGTGTTTGGAGTATTTGGCTGCTATATATTTCCACATGATAAGGCCACTTCGTGGGCTATCAATTAATTGTGGCTAGGTCGCTTCTGAAAAAGAGCGATATAGCTTAGTGGGCCTTACCTGGAAAAATAAAAACCGGCAGTAATAGTCCACGATGGTCACTCACCTCTGGATGTTTCTTATCGTTATTTGCTGAAACTTGCTGTGTTGATGACCTACATTAAAACAGACAAGTAGGTAATGGGGGGGGGGGGGGGGGGGAAGGGGTGGTTGTTCAATCAGTGTAAGGAAATAACATTTAATTCACCAGCATATTGGGCTTTTCCAGATTGTGTCCCCAGCAGCATTTCTTAAAAAAAAAATGTAACCTTGGGCTGGTTTCAACCACACTCACTGCAGCCGGACCATCAAAGGCGTGGCGTGTCCTCATAACGCGGTGCCTTGTACATTTTTGTATACATTGTGTATGACTTATTGAGGATGAGTCATAGTTATAGGATTTGTAACTGACTTTTGTTGGCCTTTGTACATGTGGACACATTTTTCGACAACTTAGCGGAAATTTCCACGTTGCTTTTCGGCCTTGTGGGTGAGCAGTAAAATGATCCAGTTAAGGTTTTCTCCCAACTGACCTCTCGGTCATCGCCGAGGCTATTGTTCCGTTCAAACTGTGCCGAACGTCGCCAACTTTGGGAAATCCCCGAGTGTGGGCAGCGAAACTTGGTGCGTAGTTTATTGGGGGAAAAGAAAAAGGTTTTCATATCAATCTGAGAATTTTTTTTTTGAAACCGCGGGACCATTACGTAATGCCAGTTGGGTTCGCGCGCTATCCTGTGAATACAGTGTGGGGTGGGTGGAGTGTGTACTGCTACTTCTTTCATATGGCTGCTGATGTATATGCAGAGTAACAACTACAATTTCACATTCAGGTGGTGAAGGCAAACAACTGTGTCGGGAGCAGCGAAGTGTACCGCCGCGATATCTCCTGCGTATTTGTGGATCGGGCGTTGCGTCGTTACATTGCTGTATGGTCTGTTCTGGATGCCCACAGTCGCACACTGGAATGAGTTTTTATTTTTCCTGTGCATCAGGTGTCCGCATCTGCCATGGTTTGTGTGTGTACTACTGACCCACAGAGCACGTGTGCCATTTCCTTTAGGGTAGCCAGTTTTGTACGCTCTTGAAAAAAAAAACATTTTAAATAATCTGTGTCGGTAGGATTCCTTCTGTCAGCATTGTGGAAAAAAAACAACAACTGCAGGGGAGCCCTGTGGTTACGGGAGGAGGATAAATAATGATAGTGTGTAGTGTTTAGTTTCGCAGTGTTTACGCGCTTAAGACATTATTCAAGCAGTATAGTTCACACGTATTTGTGGTTGTACAGTTTGTGTGTGTGAGATTCTGTGTACCAATTTTTAATAAAATACAATTTAGATATTCTAAAGCATCGAAATGCTATTACAGTATATCTCAAGATCCTTTACAAATAACGCGGTGTACCTGTGTGGAGAAGACTGTCATTTAATTCTGTGCGGTTATTGTAGAGGGGAGGGATTGAGGTGTTCTAAGCCTAGGGGGTTGAAAGGGAAGGAATATTGGGAAAGCAGTATTGTGATGTCCTCCGCTACCGTCTTGCCAACCAGGGATAGATTACCAGCTTTGATGCACATCGGTGGCAAGTAGGTTCTGAACCTGTCCAGGGCCTTCCCCAAGGTTGACTGTGCCACATTTGAGTAGCTTGTGTGGCATGCCAGCAAAAGCACAGGGGAAACAAGTGTGTCAGCAATGGTTCCGGCCGCACCACCCCGACTTGGCCCGTTACGGTCTTAACAGGTGGTTCCCAACAGCACTCGCCTCCACGTTCTCTTCGGGGAAGCAGGGCTACCCGAGTGTCTTTGACGGGCATACATAATGCAGCGGCCCGGGGTCCCGCCGATGGTGATGGCCTCGCGACCCGGCGATGCGGAGTAGTCCAGCTGTGCGTGCGTTACCAAGGGGCTATTTTCTCCCGAGTCCACGCCTGAGTTCTGAGCAGCGCTTTTACAGCACAACCTGGCGCAGTCGCCCCTCAAAGCCGGCGCGGCGTTTTGTGCCGGCCGTGCGGGGTCTCGCTTGCGCGCAAGGCTACATACAGTACTGTAGCTTGCACCCACCGGCATGTACACAGCTGCCTCGTGGTGCATAATGCACACAGCTACCCGTAGCAGCGACTTTCGTGTCTGATGAAGAGTGTGTGTCTATACATGTGTCCGTGTGTGTGTGTGCGGTCGGCAAGTGTGGGGAAATCCACCAGTTTGTCCATCTGTGTGTGTGTGAAATGGGTTATAAATACAGTGCTGTTTGATGGAGAAATGGCTTCAAAATTGACCCCTTCCTTTGACCGCTTGCTTCAAATGAATTGCGCTTTGAGCGTCACCACTTTACAGACACCTTTAGACACAAACGGCCTCCCTCTCCTCACTGTATTTGGCCTCCTCGTTGCCGCTCCGCGTCTTGAGAAGGAGAGGTCTCTCGGTTCTGGGTAGAGGGCCCTGTGCCTGTTGCTGCTGCTGCCTGTCGAGAGGAAGGAAGCTTAATCGGCGTGTTCAGACGCGTCCTATTTTCTTTACGTAATTGAATGTGGCTCACGGCTGAGGTTATGCAGACACCCAGGCAATTGAGAAGTGGGGGCCACTTACGTCCACATTGCCACGGCGTATCCATAAGGCATTGTACAATTCACTCCGCCAGCGGTTCGATTACTTTTCACGACTCGGGGTTGCGATTGGATTCGATTTTTCTTGTCATGTTTTTTTCTCTCCCGAATTGTATTCTTGGTTTTACAGTTTTGTTCTCTCGTGCGCATGTAAGAGCACGTCGTTTGCATGTGATTACCGTCGCGTAAATCACCAGCAATCAATTCTCGCGTACGGCTGGATGTATTATGCATCGTGAGCATAACGTAATGCTCAACGTTCGTGCCAGTTAAGTGCACGGCGCTCTCAGTTGCTGCACGCCACAAGCGCCCTTTCTGACGTTCGGCTTATGGGCACCGCGGACAGGAGGTATCGTTCTACCGATCATCCTGAACACACGCAACAAGCCCCCCTTTCCGCCGTCGCCACCAAACCTGTTCTCAAGTCCCGACTGCCAACGGTGCTGGTTTCAGCTGTCACTAAGCAGCCGAAAAGCCTCTCCGCAGCTCGTTAAGGCGCACAC